AAAGTGCTTCAATTTAATTTTATTTGAATAAAGAATTTTCTATTCTATTCTAACAATAGAATATTCTAGAAATACTATGGTTCCTGTCCGAGATTCTGATTCGGTAGCCCGCAATTCATGAATGGCCAAGTGTCGATGGTTTAGTGGTTTAGTACATTGCCTTGCTTCTGATCATCGTGGGTTCGATTGCTCCCACGTTGCAAACATTTTTATTCATGAGTATCATTGATTGTATTGGTCTGGATGTTTTCTATGTACATAATAATGTATGTATGTACAAAAATAGTATTATAGCAGTTATCTAATACCTATATCACGGACTCTACATAGCTTGTTATTAGATGGTGATTATAATGATGACCATAAAAACTTCATATGATTTATTGCACTCTTCTTGCTGACATAACAAAATTTACTATTTAAATCATTATTATATTTTAGACCTTGTATGTTATGTTACATAATTTATATTATTTCGGATGAATAAGTAAATAAATAAGATACGTATTTCACCTGTTAACTATTTCAGCCGCCGTCTTCTTGCAATTTGTAAGCTGTGTCATAAGTACAAGCTGTAGGCTCAGCTAGTACATAACAAATAGATATATCGCAACTTTCTTGATATGACAGTGCCCTCTATAGTAGAAACTACTATAAAATAATAGTGCCACTAGGTGGCGCTGTAAGGAGTCCGAGTGACTAACAGAAAGTTGTCTTTTTATCTCAGATAAGATAATATTACATAGTCTTAGTGAGCTGCGAGTGACGGTCGAGACAACAACTGCCTCGAAATTGTACACTTTCTGTAAATATAGTATAGTGTAGGTACTTTGAAAGTGTTGTTAATTTAGTTATTAATTTAAATTATGATTTCTACCGATATATTCAATACTAGCTGACCCGCGCAATTTCGCCTGCATCATACTTACTTGACATTTATAACTTTCGCTTAATTCACGTATCTTTTTAAATTATAGCATGTTATTCTGATGTATAAGCTATGTTACTGTAAGGTTTAATCAAAATCCGTTCAGTAGTTTTTGCGTGAAAGAGTAACAAACATCCATCCATAGTCACAAACTTTCTCATTTATAATACTAATAAGATTAACCAGGACCCACAATGACGATTCGATATATACCTGCTGAGAGATACCTATTGACTGCACTAACTTCTAGAATCACTGATCTTCATTTATTTTTAAGTAATTGTAATAGCAATTTTTTTAAGGATTACCTACATAAGATACAGCAATAAAAATCTGTTGTGATTCTATACAATTATATTGGTCGTATACTAACTGTTCTCATATTTATAGGTAGTTTTTCTGCGTGATCGAATCAGAAATGAGGAGATCCGCAGAAGACCTAGAGTGATAGCTCTTAGGGCAGATGGCCGTAGGGGCAGTAAAGTCCTCGAGTGGTGACCGCAGACCGGAAGACGCAGCGGGGGAAGGCCTCCAGCAAGGTGAGTCCTCGGGCGGTACAAACATTTATATTCATGTGCATGATTGTTTATATCAGTCTGGGTGTTTTCTATGTACGAGTATATTAGGTATGTACTTACAAAATATAAATTTATATGTATATATAGATATTTATATCAGTTGTCTTGCACCCATAACACAAGCTCTGTTATAGCGGGACTAGATGGCCCTGTGTTAATTGTCCAGGGTTATTATAGGGTTATTAATATGCGTTGCCATCCCAGAGAACTATGACTCATGACTATTATGCCTCCAGTAATTTCCGACGCCTATATACATATATATCTACATAAACAGCACTACAGATATCAAGTGACTTATTGCCATTTCAGAGAACTGTGACGTCAAGCATTTCATACTGTGATTTCACTTTGTAATCGCATCCTATAACTGAAACACACTTACAGAGCAATCTGCTTAGCGTTTGAAATAGTTGAGACCAAGGAACTGATGCAAACCACTTTTTATCGTATACCTTTTATAAATATTAATTATCAAAACATAATATTGATTGTTGATTATGGACAATACCTTTTAATTACTCCATCAAAGATAATAGTCATGTAGGATATATTATATAGGAAAAACCGCAGAGAAGAGTCTTCTATACAATGTTTTGTACGAGCTACATAATACATACTTCTACATATGTAGACTGTGACACAAAAACATACTAATACACGTAGTATACATAGGTATAATCATGATATTAGAGTGACATGTGTCTGCGTTTCTATGTGGCATCGTAGGTCTAGACAAGTAGACCGCGTATGATCAGGTTTATTTGTTTGAAAATTGCTCGATATGCTTTAAGGCTATAGCTACAATTTATTTGAGTTGGAAGTCAATTTTAAATTTTATAATAATTTAAGCTACTAGGAACTCTTCTGAAATGTAGTTTCAGAAGAGACGAATGAGCAAGAAACTTGACAATTGTTATTAAAAATAAATCAGTATATATTTGGTAGAAACTAACGATATTTAAAAACTCCCACACATGATGTGTGGTAAATAAATCCTTTATAAACCAGTGTCATGTTACACCACCGGTGTACCACCTTAAATCACGACGAATACAATCCCAAACACGTTGGCAAGAAATCACACTCCACCAAATTGCATAACATACTTACCCCTACTTTAAAATTGAGCCATAAATAAAAGGTAGGTAGGAGCCGCACCTTATCGCTTCCAGAGCCACAACAAATGAAAGAATACCACCCCATGCCCCATCCCTCAAGAATACAGCCCTCTTCCTCCCGCCATCCCATCTCTTTCTAACATGGAACGGTGAAACGGTGTTTTACATTTATAACTACAAGCCACATTCGTGGACGATGCCACAGAATCACTCCAAAACCTTTTATTCCAAATTGAACTTTATTTTTGAAGAGTTACAGTTACTATTTGAATTTGTACTGAGTGGGCGAATTTTCTGCGTTGCTATGGCAACGGGGGGCGAGCGTCGCGATTTTTGCCCGGCTGCCTTCGATTACCTACGGAGGTTTTTCTGATCACTCTCAATGTGAAAGTATCTATGTATAATGTAGGTTCGTTCGATAAAATGTCGGAACGAATAAATTGAGGAAGGTGGTCCCCAATCTTGAATTCAGAATGTTTTCTTGACAGCCCTAGAATGATAGTGCGGAAATATTGCCATATACTTTTGTATTTTAAACTTGTCCTTATTTTTTGAATTGATATATTAATTGTAGTATATTCTATTAAAATCTCAAAATACCTAATCAGTTATTATATAACTTATCGCAGTACTCGTCCTTATATTTACTAATAACATTGTAAGAGATATATCGAAAAGATAGGTGTAATACGGTGTAATTGAAATTATATGTTTTTATTTATGTCTGAATATTAATTTCATTTCAATTTCATCCAGAAAATGAATCCATATAAATCCATGTAGCGTAGAGTACTACGAGTAGAGGAATAATAAGCAGAGTACGAACAAATTTAATAAGAAATATTTATGCTCTTCTATGTGAATGAAGTACCTACTTTAAAGTACTTTATTTTTTATATTTTTTATTTGTATATGTAATGTTATATAGACTATCTATATGTGTATAGACAAACTATTATCGCAGAAGCTCTGTAACTGAATACCTTTCTCTACCTTTTACCATAATTTTGGTATTATATTGTATTCTTTAATAAATTAATACTAAATGATAAATTGTGTTCTTTAATTCATTAATATCAAATGGTATAAGGTGTGTAAATATATATTATTAGGTAAATAAAACATATAATTATTTTTTACTAACCGTTTATTCCAACCACATCATGTAGATTTTCCACGCTCATGTACTAATATTACGAGATAGGTATCGAATAGTTGTTTTAATAAATTTTCTATTATTTAACTTTGGTGGGTTTGCATACAATTTCTTATAAGCGTATCTATTTAATATTTGTGCATATACGTTGAGTTCGATACTTTATAAAGCTCTATGACTTTTTTAATAATATTTTATGAAGTGAGGGTACTTGCACATAAAAATAACTATTTAAGACTTCTGACCGCGATTTGATTTATGGTGTTGTTACGTTTGACGAACATATTACAAAAATAATGTTAGTCAATAATCACTGGGTTATAAGTTCAAATATACATTATGTTTCTTTGATGGTCAATTATTTGTCTTTTTTGTTGTTTAGTTAGGTTATATCTATAACTAATACATTTCAACTAAACATGATATTACATATACAAAATAATTTTAATTTTGATGTGGAATAAATTTTAAAATAGTCACTTGTTCATTGTATTGTTACAATGTTGCTTGTTATAATTGAAATAATAATTTTTATTATTTGTAGTTTAGTTTTATTATTATTATTACCCAGCGTGGTTGAGCCTACATGTAGTTTATATTAGTCATTAAATTCGTTTAAATAATTATTTACAATTTGTTTCTTAAAATTTACAATATTATAATACATATTGCGTACGCCATCCTAGCGTCAACCTTGAAATATTTTCATGAAATTTATCAACACTACAATTTATATTTACAATAAATTTAAAATAAAATTTAAAAATAATATTATATACAAATTATAAATTAGGTAAGCAAGCATTCCTTTTGACAATACTGGTGTAAAATTAGTTACATATAATGTAGGTACTTTAAGGTCTAAAATTGTTTAAATGACTTTTGTTACAAAATGTTTTAATATAAAATTGTTAGATAATTTCAAATTATTACACTATAATGTCCAGACAGTTTCTACAATACAAAAGCTTATCTAAATACATCATTATATAATTTCGTGAAGACATCAACACAATGACTACATAATAGGAAATTGGCACCGGGGAGTTTAGAGACAAAATTTACAATATTATAATAATTACCTCACAAAATACATATGGGTATAATGTAAAATCTAACTATAATAAATTACTTATTATGTATCACATGACTACTTATCATATTATTTACAAATCAAATAGAAAACTACTAACAACCTGACTGTACTCACACTTAGAAGTGATAGTATGCGAAGTTTATAGGCTGTTGGACATTGTCATTATTCTCATTATTCAATGCGTCTTGTTCACTATCTACTTCACTAGTACTCGCTAATTCTCGTTCATTCTCGACCATGCCCTGTTCGAATTTGCTAGCACCCCTAACTTGCCAATTCGAAAGATCGCACGGTGCGTCATCATTATTCGATTCCTTACAAAATGTTCTCGGCACTACATAATCGGGATATATATTTCCAAAGTTCAAGTAATAACCGTTCGACTCGTTACGTTCACTGTTCGCCGAGAATTTAGCATCGTTAATTGGATTTCTCGCATAATTCGATTGGAATTTCTCATCTCTGTAATTGACAAATGTTTTATAGTCGTTTTCGTAGTCATTGTCGAAGCTACGAGTGCTTACGCTATTGTCATTATTTTCAGAGTCTATTTCTAGTTCTTTAAAGTCATTCACGTCACTATTCTCACTGGCACTGGTTTTGAAGGGTTTCCCCTCACCGGTGCCGGATGGATCGGATCACTGGCGATGATGTGGTATTTGGTGATGAGGGATGTGTTGGTGATGAAGGTCGAGCCTCGGCCGTTTAGCGTCGTCGTCGTCACTGCAAGGGTCGTTGTCGTGGGGCTCTTGGTCGTCACATTCTTCACCGAGCTCTTCTTGCTTGCGTTTTGCTGTTGCCATTTCAGCGGCGTGCTTTTTCCGCCATTTTGTTCGTCTGTTTTGGAACCATACCTGTAAAAAAGAGAATGATTTGTTAGTTTTTTTATTCAGTTACAAGTGAAAAATCCTAAAAGAAATGCGTATCAAAACCTAATATAACTTTATAGGTAATTAATAAATTGCCTAAACTAATATTACAAAGACAAATCATTTATATTTTTTGTTTCTAGTTGTTAAACTCAAAATATTTATATAGCTAGTATAGGTAGACAACAAAAAGAAACTTGAGACATAACTTCAATTTATTTCGTATTATTCAGTTAATTTAAGTCAAACAAAGTTGTTACATGTTGGTTCGGGGTATTGCAAAGAGACATTATCTGAAAATACACCACTAAATTCACGGGCAATGTTTGCGTTACAGAAAGCCAAATATAAAGAGCGCGCAAACAATTTTCAGCGCCATGTGAACCTAATCTCCACGGGCGACATCATAATGCCTCATTAAACACCGCCTTTTAAGTCGCAACACAAACTTATACGCGTCCCTTTTGCTCCTCCAGACATTCCCTTAGTAGGATAAGGATGGCTATAGTAGCCATGTTCTACGGTAATTAAGGGTCGTTTTGCAAATTACACGGTACTTAACCAGCCATATAACGCTCATTAATCACCGGGTGAGGGTGTCTTGCGCTTCGCTCGCTCTTATACAGTTGGTATATGTTCGTCCCTCTCACACAGTCTGTCGGGCGGTAGACAGGAGTTTAATTAGGTCATAAATACATTTTCATGATTAGAGTGGAGCCTTGAGATGGAGAGCGTCGATTTCGCTGAATATTCGGCCGGCGATTACTCGGGAGCAGATGTCGATGTTATTATAAAGGAATCCTGGAGGTTAAAATTAGGTCTTCAGCCGACCTCGTTATGTTAATGGCGTTAAAACTTAATGAGACATGCCTTTGATTCTTTTACCAACTACCTATGGATTTAGAAACTTTTTATTTGATACATTGACCATTTATTTATTACATGAGTGTTTTATCATTTCATATTATCAATACCATTTATTATTTCATATCCTTAAAATTTTGTGAAAAGATGCAAATCGAGAAGAGATTCTCAAATACAACTGATATTTTTTATACTTAAATTACAATAATAATAATAGTTGTCTCCTATAGTAGAGTAACTTAATTAGTTTTACTTATGTATAACTGCACACTGATAGTTAATACGTTAAAAAATATAAACGTTTTCTTGCCAATTGATGTTAGGTAAGAAAATTGTTATAGATTTTACCATACTATCTAATAGAGTAGATGATACAATAGGTAGTATCTAAATATACATTAACGTAATTTGTGTTTACCTTCATTGTCGTATGTAATAGAGCAAATACAAGACAGAACTGGTGTTGTGGTCTCCTCCAGTAGGCATAACAACAGGCCAATAACGATATGTTATAAATAAAGCTTTATTAAAATTTAGGTGATCAGTTAAGTGACGACCTGCAGCGGGAGCGACTATGTATTCGTTGTCTGCACTAATTTTATACAACAACAAGATTTAAGTTTTTATAACTAAAAAAGTCCAAAAATTCTTGAGCACTTTTATATACTATAACATTTATAGATAGCAACTTTATCAGCGATTAACATAAGTTATACTCCACCCGGACAGTGCCGCGATATAGAACTACTTTATAGCATTTATTTCTTGTACAGTTCATTATTACAGGTTATTTATTTAATGAGACTTAATTTTCTTAATTTATATATTCAAAATATGAATTAGTTACCCGCTATATCAGACACTATATCCTCAACCGTATACAGGATTAGTGTTGTAACAACGCCTTGTAACGATATTTTGATGGCTTCTGGCAACTTGGCGTGTTTATTAATTAGACCCTTTATGAAATGCTGGGTTCCGTGCAATGTCATAAATACTTCAGTAGCTGGAATTCGAGCTATTGTGGCTTTATGGTACTCAGTGGCGTTTTAAGATGTCGGATGACTTACGGTTTAATGTTCTTAGTAATATATCAGATTATCGCTATAAAAGTGGTTTCTTAATGAGGTATTATCACTATAATAACTCTAAAGCAGTGAATTTAAATAATAAATACCAGTTATGGCTACTAGGTGCAATAAAACCATAATTACCTAAGGATTGACAAGTCTCCTATATTTAGAATGATTAGAATTCAGTCAAATTTGAAATTTCCGTCTACACTATATTTTGACAGTTTCAATGGTTTACCAATTTATTCGTGGGAACAGAACCCACGATCATTAGAGGCGATGTGCTAACGCATCCAGTGGTCGCGGGTTCGATTTCCCGCACCGTAAAAACATTTGTATTTGTGAAAATGATTTTTTATATTACTTTGAGTGATATCTAAGTATACTATGTATGTATTTAAAAAAATCTCGGTACTTATTTCTATCAGTTGTCAAACACCCATAACACAAGATCTGCTGAGTTTGTGACTGGACGGCATTGTGTAAATTGTCCTGGGCTATTATTTACTGGTTATAATATTTTGGGAAAAATACCAGAAAAAATGGTATCATCATCATCATCACCGTGGAATTAAGGCTAACCAATGATGATGAAAAAATGGTATATTAATTTAAAAACGTAGGAACTAGGTACTTAGCAAAATGTAACCTATCAGGTATTAGATTCATTAAAATGTAGATAATAGATTCTGACTACTCTATCTGGTATTCTAGTAGTGATCAAATAAAATCAAAATATCTATATTCATGTAGGTCTATTACAGAATTTTGTGATATGTCAGTTCTACCGTCAGTTCGAAATGAGAAGGTCAGTTCGTATTCAATTAAATATTGTTTACAAGAATACAGATTCATTGTGTAGTGAAGGTATATTATTATTATTTTATTAATAATCTTGCAATAATAAATCTGCCAACGCAATATACAAATACTATGGTAATAAAAAGTCGGCAGCGTGAATACAACACGCCGTCCTACATACAGTGACATTATGATTGCTCCATTTACTTTTATTGTGGAAAAGTTGATGTGAAAAACAACAATTGTCTTTTTTACGATACAGGATAATAATCTTGATATACGACTTTTTATTTTATTACCAACTTAGCTACCCGCCCCGGCATCACTCGGGTGTACATATATATATATATATATATAAACCTTCCTCTTGAATCACTCTATCTATTGCTAAAACTGCAATAAAATCCGTTGTGTTAAAGTTTAAAAGATCTAAGGAAACACACAGCGGAAGAGATTTCTGGTTGTGATATGTAAAGACTAGCGATCCGCCCCGGTTTCGCGTATTTCAACAAATTGACACAAAACCTTAAAGAATTTGATTTTAACTACACTAAAACGTTTCTCCGGGATGAACTCCATTGATGTATGAAAACGAATGAAAATCTGTTTTTGAGATTACCGTAGATATATATCTAGACAGATTCAGTATGAAAGGGACGATGTTTATAATTTATATCGTGGTATGGGCATGTAATGCGTAGGAATGAAGATCATATCCTAAGGACGATGTTACAAATGAATGTGGATGGTTATAAGGGAGAGGAAGACTGAAAAAGAGATGGATGGACTGTGTGAGAGATGATATGGTGAGAAAAGGAGTAAATAACGTGATGACTGCGAACAGAGATGAATGGAAGAGAAAAACATATTACGCCGACCCCAAATAAATGGGATAAGGAAGAAGCAGATGATGATGATATAGACAGATTCAGTGGGGACTTTATTTTATATGTATAGTTTAGTATTTAGCTGTAGTATGTCGCTAGCGGTCCCTGCGTGAATTATTGCCTGATGATGTAGGTTTCTACAGGTGAAATAATTTAACATTGTCGACAGATTATAATAATCAGTCGAATATGTTTTGAATTTATTCATTACCTACAAACAATAATCAAATACTATAGACTATGATCTCGCATTGGCTTTGCATGGTACAGTTAGTGTAAGGTCTTCATTTTCTGGTAGCTTAGCACGTAATAAATGTTTATCGCTGCCAATGCAGTATTTTACAGGCAAAAGATTGTAGCTAAGGTTCACCTTATGATAAACGTAACAGTCGCCTATGTATAACAGTACTATGGACAACATGTGTCGGCCGTGATTACTACATAAAGTGTGTAAATAGTACGAGTTAATTTTAATTATTTATACTTAACATTACTATGCCTCTTTTTTTGCAAGTCCATTCATGCGTCACCGTCTCTTTCTGTCTTGTTTCCTCTATCCAAAGGTTGTCTGGAAGAGATAGCTTATGCGACAACACCGATTTGGGTCTCTATTACTCTATTTGATGTGCTTTGTAATTTACATTTGATGTCATAAAGACTTAATAAATAAATTCATGATACGTAAGTTACTGAAATTGTCTATACAATAATTATTAGTTATTATGTATAAAGAATCCTTTATAAACAAATTCGAAATGGAGGAGATATAAGTCAACAAAAATAATATAGGTTACCAAAAGAGAGTTGAAGTAAGGGTTCCTCACCGACCGACAAACACCGTGACGTATGTTTATTATTATATTTACGAGCTTACTGAACAACTTGCGACCCTTTCACGCGACGCGAGTAACATTATTACTTATATTATTATTTTCCAGTCTTCCTTTATTCCCCGACTTACCCGATCCCCCTGCATTCAATTACTTAAGTGCTCGCGGCGTAACCACGGGAAATATACCTATCTCTCTCAAACATATGGCTTATAGGTGATACTCTCGCGAGGAGGGTCGGGTAATTATGTGAATATATCTATTATTTTTCACAAGAGATTGTTGTAATGGCTCGATAGACATAAATGCGCTTTCAGTGGCGGTAGCGAATAAAAACGTCTTACCACGTCCGCCATCTTGTTATACGAGTAATTAATTCGAATGAGAAGTTGGATGTTTTCTTTGTAGTAGCCGAGGTATGACTTGTTATTAGAGTTGTAATAAAACAAAACAACATTTTAGTAGTTACTAAACTGAATACTCGTTACTGCAGTATCGTTACCTTATTACACCCTTTTCATAATTATACT